AATATAAATAATTTAAAATTATAAAAAAATTATAATAAAATATGAATTCGTATTTAGATCTAGATCAAATTCAAATTCAAATTCATAGACTTTTAAATATTTAATGAGGGAATCAGATCCAAATCTAAATCTAAATTTTCATGTATCCAAATACTGTCTAAGAATACAAAACTTGGCCCAAAATTGCCAAGAAAAAGAAAGGCATTGGCATATCCAGGGGTAAAATTTTGGTGCATTGTACAAAACTTGCTAACAATGATAGGGATTTTCTTCTTGTGGAAAAGGCAATGTGCCGTTTCATATCTACTTTGACAAGTTATGACTCTGAACTCAGTTTGAAAATTCAACATTTATCCATAGCCACATGTACATACATCTACATTTCTATTAAACGTAGTATAGGCGTCAGTGTTGACCCTCCACAACAAAACATATACGATGGTGAGAAGAAAGGGACTTAGATATTCTAAAGTTGGCCTCTTTGCTTCCATTGCTGCAGAAAAAGATCAGAGCTAGTGATTCTCTCAAGAAACTAAAAATCAAGCCTTGTGTCTTCCACTTTCTTCATTTCTCTTCCCAACAAGTTTTGATCCGTTTCTTCTTTTCATTTTCCCCCCATGGGCGATGCAACTAATCCAGTAGCTCAGTCTCTCGTTCCAATGTTGAAAAAAGGAGCAAATTATGATTTCTGGAGTCTGAAAATGAAGCCCATGTTCAAGTCTCGAGAGCTATGGGATATGGTGGAGAAAGGATTCATATACAACCAAACTGAGGAGCCTGATCAACTATTGCGAGAGAATCGGAAGAAGGATGCAAAGGCCCTGTTTTTGATTTAACAAGCTCTACATGATGAAATATTTCCTCTCATTGCATCAGCAACTACATCCACCCAAGCATGGGAGATTCTAAAGCAAGAATATTCCCATAACAAGAAGGTAATTACAGTAAAAATTTCAATTCCATGAGAAAATGTTACGGGTCCTATGTCAAGAACATGCATCACACAAAAAACGTGATTTATAAGTGTAAATAAACTCTCCCTCATCATTTGTCATTGGAAAACAGGTAAAGGTTAGTTTTATTTTGAAGGGCCTAAACCTATAGGCCCACATATTTTAAATTAATTGTGTTTTTCAAAACTAACCTTCATTGTGAGGGTTCAAGGTGGGTACCAAAAGCTTGCCTAATTTTTTGGGAGAATTACATTAAAGTCTTACATAAAAAAATTAATTATTATAAGATTTAGTGATAACTAAGCTAAAGAGATTGAGAACACAATTAGTTTTCAATCTCTTTAGTTCAGTTATCAATGGATCTTATGATAATTAATTTTTTGTGTGGAACTTGGATGTAATTCTCCCTAATTTTTTTTATTTTTTTCATTTAGGTTTCTAGTTATTATAACACACAATTTAACAAATTGTGTCATTTTTATATATTAATTCAAAAATTAAATCAACAATTTCAACCACGAGTTGATTGAAAAGTGAAAAAATTTACAAGGGCAAGGGCCTAAGTCTTTTTATACAAAAACTAATCTATCTTCCATCAGGTCCCCAATGTCACCATTGGTGCTATCCGATGGAAGTTGGTCGTCCAATCCTCATCGTCATAGTTGGTTTGGTCTCGATGGAAGTTGATAGTCCGGTCCCCATCATCACCATTGGTCCGGTCCCAATGTAAGTCGACCATCCAATCTGGTGGTTGCCATCAATTCAATCCTTATTGAAATTGGTCGTCTGGTCCTGATCGTCTCTATCGGTTCAATCTCTGTGTAAGTCAGCAGTCCATTTTGATGGTTACCATTGGTTCGATCCTGATATAAGTCAATCATCCAGTTTGGTGGTTGCTGGTAGTCTAATCCCTATGAAAATTGGCCATCTGGTGCCCGTTGTTACCGTCAGTCCAGTCTTAGTGGAAGTTAGGCGTCTAGTACCCGTCATCGCCATTAGTCTAATCCTGGTAGAAGTTGACAGTCTCATCTCAGTAATCGTCATCAATTCAATCTCGGTTATCACCATCGGTCAGGTCTCAATGTTAGAATTTCTCATCCCTATAGTCGCTGTTAGTTTGATCTCAATCGCCACCATCAATTCGGTCCTAACAACCATCCTGTCTAGGTTGTTGCCATCGATCTAGTCCTAGTAGAAGTCGGCCGTCCCATCTCAACAATGGCGGCAGCTTGTTTCCGTCAACTTCGATGGTCCAGTCTAATTGCCTTTGGCAAATCGATAATCCTTCATAGATTTGGATCAAATTACAAAAGAGATTAAGTTAGGATTTAAAATAATAGGGGTTTAGACAGGATTTTAAATTACAATAAGAGATTGAGATAGAACTTGGAGTTAGATTTGGGTCAAATCCAAATCCATGTATATCCAAACACAGCATAAGTGAATTCATGTCCCATCATCTTTAATAACACTATCAAAGCTTAAGTATACAACTTTCTCTTCAAGGAGCAAGGACAACATGTATCTATTTATTTCTTTAACAACAACTAACATAGAAGCTACTATAGCTCTATCTCTAAAATATGAAGAATTATAAACATTGGCAAGGAAATTCGGGAAGGTCGAATTAACAATGGACTTTACTAAAATTATTAATAATGAGTTTGAGTTAAATAAGTTATTAATAATTACTATGTTAAATATTTATATTATTTGTTTACAATTTATCCCAAACATTTCATGAAATCTATTAATTCATACTCCCCCTATCCCAGTTTATTTAACATTTTTTCTATAAAAGTATACATATCAAAGAAGTTCATTGAATATAGTTTATAATCCTAATTGTTTTCATAAGACATTTTAATCTAATATGAAGCATTTGTATAATAAAAATTACAAATCATGAAAATCAATGTCCTTTTTCAATAATTGTACTTTCAAAAAAACTTTTCAATATATAATTCAAACAACTTTTAATTTATTAAATTAATTTTTGAAAAATATATACAAACACAAATTTTATTATCACAAATAATTTTTATTAAATTGACTTTTATCAAATTAACTTTTCACTAACAGCAAATAAAAAAGTAGGTCTTTTAAATAGGGCTATTTAGGAAGTTTTAAGACCTTAAATAGGCCTTAGGCCTATTAAGCCTACTTTTAAGTCTTAATTGGGTTTTAAATAGAAAGTTTAAACTGAAATCAACATAACCTCACTTGTAAATCAATACATAAGTTTAAATTGACCTAAAAATTGAAACATGTATTTGAATAAATTCAAACTAAGTAAGATTCTTTGATTAAATAAGATGCATATTTATGGATTTAAATTGACAACATAAAAAGAATTGGTATATGGTAGTTTGAATTAGAGTTAGAAATATGGATAGGTTTGATGGGCCACTGGTTTCAGCCTTTGTTTTTAAGCTCAGGCTTGAAAATTAAAAATTTTTATCATAGCTGGCTTTTAAAACCCAGCTCTTTTAAACCTTGTAAAAGGATCTGGGGAGACTATTTAAACCCATTTTTATTTTTTCCTTAAAAAAAATACTTTCAATTTTCAAATTGAATCTAGACTTTAGAATACATATTTATACTTTAAAATTAATATTTATATTACTTATTTTTAATTTTTGAACCTTGTAATTCATATTCATATTTTAGAAAAAAATGTAATATTATAAATGTAAAAATTAAATTTTTAAAAATATAAAATTTTAAAATTTGTGAGCCTAATCCTTAGCCCGTTAAATAAGGGTTGAGCTTAAAAAAAATAAAGGTTGATTTTGAGATAATTAGATTTATAAGCCCGAACCCATATTGATCTTGCTTGCTTGTTTCTCATATCTAGTTTGAATATATATTTTTAAATGAATAGTCATTGAATTAAGTGTACATAGTTAGAAGATATACTTTTAGCTGCTCATAATTCAAATTTGAAGCAAATATTAAGTGTTTTAAATGGTATTGGATACCGGTCCATTAATTATACAACGTAGCATGCATAAATACATTAATTTGATTATACGGAGCAAAAATATTTATATATTGACCCAAAGTATTTAATGATACTACTTAGATCAAGGAATTACCGAATTAAACTAAATATCAAAAAGTGAGATTAATTCTGTAAAATTTAAAAATAAATACACGACTTTGAATAGAAAAATATTTAAAAGATTGATTGATTTGAACATCTTTCTCTTTCAAAAATATTAGATTTTATGTAATTTTATCCAAATTTAAATCTATATATTTCATAAAATTTTGAATTTTAAATATTTAAATTCATGTGAAGATAGATAAAATTAATTTATTTTATTTGGAATGTATACATCTTATAATTATTCTTTTATTTTATATATATATATATATATATATTTAAAAATTAAGTCTAAATTGATCTAGGCTTGGTAGGCCACTTATATAAACCTATTTTCCTTTTGTGCTCAAGCTTGAAAATCAAGAAATTTTAGTGTGACCAGGCTTCTAAGCCAAGTCTTTTTAAATCCTCTAAAATGGTGCTTAGGTTTATGTAATATGTTTAGGTCCTTTTTTTTTTGCCATTGAAGAATAAAATACTTTCCATTTTTAAATTGAATTTAGACTTTAAAATATATATTTATAATTTAAAATTAACATTTATATTACTTCTTTTTAATTTGAATAAATTTTTATTTTTACCTCTGAAGTATTCTTTCAAAAGCACCTTATATCTTAAACTATTAGTCAAAATAATTTTTTTTGTAAAGTATTTAAAATGAAATATTTTTTATCTTTATTGTTTAATTTTTTAATAATTAATGTTGGAGCCTCAGTTAGCATTTTATAACTGTCACTGTTACGATCGAGAGGATCAACGTTGACGGCTGCCATCATTGTCATAAATGTAGAAATATATCGCTATGGAGGATGGATCATAAATGAATCTTCCACGAGAGTTCAGGGTTGCCACTTGTGTGAAAAGGTGCATTGCCTTTTCCACCAAAAAAAAAAAAGGAACCAAAATTTCTTTGATGGCGCGGGACAAAAACAAAATCCCCATCATTGTTAGTAAATACGATCCAAAATTCCCTCCTAAGAGAGCCTGTACCAATGAAAGCACCGACAAATAATGAATTAAACGATGATAGAGCAAATATATTATATTTTAATTATTTTAAAAATAAAATTATTATGATAAATAATATAAAATATCAGGTACTCTTCAAAAAATAGTTCAAAAATAAAACTGCACCATATCCCATTATATTAATGGTTTGTAGTTGAGATGGGAAGGCATATTCATTCCTTGTCCATATTTCGTAATGCAATTAGCAATTTGATTTTTTTTTAAAATGTTAGATAGTTTATTATTATGATCGATACACTTGTGGTAGCGATCAGAAATAAGACGTCAATGTTGACACCCCGAACACAAAAACAAGTGGGCTGGTAAGAGAATATGGATTTAAATATTCTAAAGATTGCCTCTTAATTATTTGCGACGTTCTTTAAATTCAAGAGCTTGTGATTCTCTCGCGAAACCAAAGCCTGTCTTTCACATTTTTTAATTTTTCCCTTCTCTCTTTCCCAAGAAGCTTTGGTTTCAGAATGCAAATATTTTGATCCATTCCTTGTCATTCTCAAAAAAGCTTTCTTGGGTCTGCAAAGTGAAGATAAATCCCAAGTGCTTTGACAGCAAGCAATATGAGCAATAACGCAACCAATCCAGTAACTCAGCCTCTCATTCCAATGTTGAAAGTGAAAGGAGCAAATTATGATTTGTGGAGTCTGAGAATGAAGACCATGTTCAAGTCTCAAAGGCTATGGAACTTGGTGGAGAATGGATTTGAAGACAACCAACCTGGCAAGCCTGATAAAAAGTTGCAGAGGAATCGTGACAATGATGCAAAGGCTCTGTTTTCAATTCAACAAGCCCTAGATGATGAAAGTTTCCGTCTCATTGCACCAGCAACTACCTCCAAAAAAGCATGGGACATTCTAAAGCAAGAATTTGACAGTAAGGTAATGATTAAAGTGAAATTAAAGTTTTGTGTTAAAAAACAATTGATCTACTGTTGCATCTTGCACACAAAATCACATGCACTTACACAGTTATGGAGTGTCAACTGCTCCCTCTCTCCCCCTTGGCTGCTTCTAATATCCAAAATCTCAGTCCTTCAGTTCAACTAATGGATAGAGAAATTTTATCCGCCTTTTCTAAAAAAAGGGCTAAGATTTGGAGCATTAGAGGCGGTAGAGATTAAAAAATGTGCACGAAGTGAATATATATTAATTTGTGGGATGGAAGGTTAAACTAGGCACAAGGAAAGAAGAGAAGAAGAAAGAGATAGAAGAGGAAACTTGTATAAACATGGTAGATCACTCTGATGTGGGTAAGCATGAAGCACCTAAACAAACAGGTGCAGAAGCGGAGAAGAACGATGTCAAAACAAATTTTGAGAATGCAGTATTAATTGTGGTGGCTTTAATCATAACGCTGTCATACCAAGCTATGTTGAATCCTCCATCAACACTCATCAAAGAGGGTACTGAAATACAATGGGCATGCCTTACCAATAGAATAAAACATGGCTTGATAAAAGACATGAAGAATTGTCCATCTAAATTGGCTTTTGCTTTCTTGTTCTTCAACACTCTAATCTTCTTTCAATCCATCATCCACCTGATCAAGACTTTGCGTGGCCGTCGTGCATTCCTGCTGGGAGGGCTCGCATGGTACCTCACAATTTGTTACTTCATCTTGCTAGTGGCTTTCTCTAATTATGCTATTTATGTTGCCATTCCTCTCTGTTGTTTAGCTTATTTTGTAATAACGGTACTGATAATTGCAACGGATAGAGAGATGATAACTGATATATTAAAAATCAGACGCCACAATAATCCCTTTGCGGCGTTTGGGGCATGCTTCATGAGAGGTAAGTTGATGTTAAAAAAATAAATAAATATTATATATACATTGATAATTATAATTTTTTATTTAATAATGTATTTAATATTTTCGCCATTTGCTTTCTTTTGAAAAGGATGTGTTAGGTACGTGAGGGAATGGTGGAGTTGAATGTTCAACCCTAACATCAATATGGTGGCTGCAAGAGACCAACCACGACTGCACAGAGTATGAATAATACATATTAAGCTGGAAAGAGGAAGGCGAATAAAATGTGATTTTGTTCTCTTCTTTATTTTCATATCATTTGGGTCGGTCAAGAATTTTTGACTATTTGCCCATAGCCTTTTGGTTTAATAGTGCCCTGCACCCTCTTGAGAGAGAAGTTGTAGGTTATATCTCCCATCCGTGCAGTTAAGAGGTGAGAGTGTATAGGTGTGGTGTGTGTTACTCTTTCCTTTAGAGTAAGGGAGTCATTTTTTCTATAGGAGAAGAGTAGGTATGCAAGTATGCGTAGGATGTATTATTTATAATTGATTTACTAAAAAAGAAAAGGTATTTCTAACTATTTCATAGATATTAAGCTTTGTTGGCGGTCAACGATCTTCATTTTTTCCCCTCTTTTTTTGTTTTTTCAATCTTCTTTCCTTCCTTTCCTTTTCTTCTTTTTCCTCTCTTGTCCTAAATGGAATAACTATGATATCATATTAAATTTTTGAGAATTAGCTATATATTAGTTTTGAATTCTATCATAATATAACTTATAGGTCAATTTGATAGGACTTATCTTTCAATTTATTCTTTAAGTAATTAACTGGTGCCATGTCCTGTGCAATGCACGGGGTGATATATTATTTAATTAAATTAGTTTACATATGTTCTTAAAGTTATTTTCTTGTAGGATAAGTTATATTGTAGAGCATCTTTATTATTATTACATACCATGTAATTGAAATCAACAACAACATTGATGTGTTACTTTAGGTTTTTTTTTTACTAAGCATGTCATCTTTAGCTGGACTACATTAATTTGCAAATTCTAATAGAGGAGTAACCCATAGCCAAAAAGAAGAAGAAGAAGAAGAAGCAAATAATCTGTGTAGAGTATAATACTAAAAGAAAAAAGAATTATAGTCCATTTTTAATGTGCTCAAATATCTCCTAGAATACAACATTGATCATTCTTGAAGATGCCTTATAGTCATTATTTTTGTCATGAATTAGTAGCTTTAGGCATTTTGTGCGTTAACTTATTTGCATTTGACTAAATTAATTGCATGTAAAGAGCAACTCATAATAGTCAACATTTTATATTTCATTAACGAAGTATCAAGTGAGTTATTCAATGTCTTGTACTATAATAATTTAGTAAAGTATTAGAAGAATATAAAGACAAATAAAAAGAGCATTGCATTTTCTCATCAAAGAAAAAAGACTGCATGTTATTTTATAGTTTAATGTTCTGAAAAAATATAACTTCCTCTCCATGCCCAAAAAATAATTTATACTCAGTAAATAAAGTACTTAAACTTTTTTTTAAAAAAAGCACTTTCAAAACTGAAAATTTTGTAAATTTAAAGCTTTCGTTAATTTTTCAGTGATAAAATTCATATTATAATTTTTTTAGTTATAAATAATCATGTCCTATAAAATTGTAACTATTTATTGTTCTAAAATTATTATGAATTATGACCAATGGTTTTAGCATTTTCTTTCTCGTATGTTGCACTGGCAGCTTTTACATTATGATTTTAAAAAATAAAACACAATATATTACTTTCATATTTGAAAATAATTAAGTGCAACTTAAATTTCTTGAATATATGAAGATGATAATTTAACACTTTACTCAAGAAGAATATATTTAAATAGCCATTAAATATTATGCATTGATGTCAATTAAAGTAAGGAGAATCACACTTGAGGATCTTTCAAGCAAATTAATCACAAATAAGGACTAATAATAAATCTCATTTTAAAAAAAGTCTCATCTTTATTTTAAAAATAATACATTTTGTATTGATCATTGTTTGCAAATAATTTTTTTAAGTAATCATTGGATGTAATTCTCCCCCCTAAAACAATAATTGACCTCAATTAGGGAAAGCCACGTGGCAAAGGGAATATCTCACGGGCTCAAGGGACACTATCTGAAAAAAGAAAAGGCCTGGATGTTATGAGTAGGGCTATGGTTACTACCTTCAACCCATTTACAGACTTGGGCCATAAAGGTCGTGGGCCCAAGATGGTTTGTCAAGTGCAGCCCAAGATGATTTGGGCCATAATATGGCTAGTCACAAAGAAGAGGGAAATGGGCTTGTGGAAGGGCACATTCATGATGCAGGAATGGATACCCAGAATGTGGACACAAGGGAGCCTCAACCCCAATATTGCCCAGACTGGTTTTTAATGAACTCCATCTTTTGGAAATGGGAGCGAAGCTCTTCCCGAGCCTCATTAACCAAATTAAGAAGAATTATCAATTGGATTTCATTCCCATTCTAGAAATGAGGAGCTGTGGAGAGAGAGCCGGTCGTGTCTCTGAGACTGAGACGTTGGATTTTAGTAGGGTCGAAATCATTGATGCTAGTGGTTACAAAGGAGGCATTTGGTGCTTGTGGAATATATTGACTCTAAGGATTACTTGTTAAACCTGACTTTAATGATAACAAATTAAAAAAAAAATTGTTTAACTGGATAAAATATGCTCATGGATTGGAAAATTAAGATATAAATGGAACTATCAATGTTTATGTCTAACATTTTTTTCATAAGTTACATTGTTATCAGTATGAACGCTTGATAATTCCTGAGCCTTTGATTCACAATATCTCAATGGTTTGTTATCTAATACTCTCTCTTGTCCTATATTTATAGAGCATAGAGGGAAGAATTTTTTTGGTACTATTATAAGTCACGCTTATCACAAATTTTTCTCTTTTATTCTCCATTCAATTTTAGAGAGAGAAAATATGTTATTAAAATATGTATATTTAATAGGGACGAAGTTAATAACTTATGAAATTTTAAGACAGAGTTAATAAGTTTTAAAATTTTTCTTGATAATTGTGAAATATGTTGGAAATGACTTATAAACAAAATCAGAAGAGTATTAACCAAAATCTTTCTAAGACTTATTTCATCATATTCCTTAATTCCTTTGATGTAAAAAGATCTTGTACTAAATATTGAGCTCCACATATTCATAATCATTTGGGTATGAAAACCCTTGGGTCTGTTCGTTTAAAATTTAAAAAAAAATTATTTTTAGATAATTTATAGATTTTATAAAAAGATATTTATTTTGTAAAAATTTATAAAATGTAGATACTATTTTACGTTTGGTTACAATAATAAAGAAGTAATTATTAATTAGTTATTTTTAAATTTTATGATATTTTTCTTCATTTTGTTTTATAAAAAATAATTTATTATTCTATTATGTTAAAATTTTATAATATCTTCACGTGTCATACTCCTTTAAAATACTTTCTTTTATCTATTGCATTATATTATTTTCAAAAGCACTCAAAATAATTTCCTAAACAATAAAAAATATGTTTTTTATTTTAATTATTTTTAAAAGTTTAAACAATTCTTATGATGTTTGTTGTTGATTTGTGGTCTATGATGTTTGCTTTATAACTTGGTCCTAGAATGGATATAAGTGCATAATAAAATGTGTTGAAGACGACTTCTGTTGGTATGGGATAGTTTAGTGTAATCAATGCATTAAGAACGAAAAAAAGGTGGGATTAAGGTGGTTCATCCCCATGTTGAACCTTAGAAAGGTATTATATGTATTACAGTGGTCAATTTTGGGTAACTAAATTGAATCTTGATGCAATTATAAAGGAAAAATGAGGGATTTTCTTTTATACTTGATTTGATTGTTGCTGAAATTGTTAGTAAGTTATTTTATATATATATATATATAAAAGAAAAAATCATTATAAGATCCTATACAACAATTCTAAATATTTTAAAGTCCCACCAAATATATAAATATTAATTCTCGAGTTCCATGGACTTAAATGTAAATAAGATTAAAGTTACAATCACCAAAATGCCCATGATTTTAAATAGAACAAAGCACACTTTGCCCGAGTTCACTCTAAAACAAACACATCTGGATCCTCTCATTTTCCTTCCCTCCTTTTCTTCTCTTCTCATCCCATTCTCGCCTTTGGATTAAAAAGTCAATGATTGAGATTTAATTAAATTTATTTATTTATTTTAATTATAATTTACAGTTACGTTGTGAACTGTTGAGATCAGATTTTAATAGTTTTGATCTATTTATTTAATTATATGTTTTTATTGTAATAATTTTATAAAAAACATTAAATTTTAACCGTTCAATTCTTAATTCAAAGTGAGAATAGGATGAGAAGAAGAAAAATAGAGAAAGGAAAATGAGATCCAATCCCGAAACTAACCCATGAAAAGCTTCAGCGGATCACCTCCTCTGCGTTCGATCATCTGCATCTCCATTGTTTCCTTCCTCCTATCTCTGTGCACATGGAAGAGATTTTGTACAAAGTACATAGAAGAGATTTCATTTTTAATTAAAAAACGAAGAGTAAGAAATCATTTTCATTGCATCGTGGACTTTCCTCTGAATCTGCACTCTCTCAGAGTCAGAGGTAGTGCGAAACAAAATTATTAATTACGCGATTACCAAACACAACTCTCTGTTACAGTTGGCTAGGTTCACTGCTCTTTTATCTCTTCCTTCCTTGCTCTTATCCATCAATGTCAATGGCAACCTAAAATGGTCAGTCCCTCGTGGCACCGCCGCATCGTCCGAAAGTCACTCTCTTGTGCAACCTCCCGTGGACGCCTTCTTCACCGGTGGACCCTGTCTGAGACATGGGCCCATGACTCGCGTCTCCAGCTTCTTCTCCGATGGCTACCCTTGACTCCGGTTGCCGCTCTCTCTCTCTCTCTCTGTCTCAGCTGTTTGCCGGACCTATGGCTTCACCGTTTGCTCTCGGCACTAGGCCTAGCTTCACTCCGGAGAATTCCACCATTTGCGAGGATGGAACAAAGAAGAATTTGGGGTTCAAGCAGAGTAGACCCATGAATTTGGTTGTTGCTCGTTCCCCATTGCTTACGCCGGCGTTTAGCCCTTCTGGCTTGCTTCTTTTCGCTTGACTTGCTGCTTATGTGGGAAGAAGGAGACGGATCGGAGGAGACGCAGATGCATGCGCTAGAGCTTTTCATGGGTTATTTTCACAGTACAGGGTCCGTTTTGTTTTATTCATGGATTTTAGTAATTGTAGTTGTAATTTTATTGACATTTAAGTCCCAAAAGATTTGAGAATTATTTATAAATTTGGTGGAACTTTTGAGTATTTAAAATTGTTGCATGGGACCTTTATAGTGATTTTCCTGATATATTATTGATTAAATTCAATGTTATAAATTATGTGAGGAAGGTTGATGCCTTATATCTTTCTTTTCTATTTTTTTTTTTAAAACTGACATACAATTAAAATGGTGAATATGTTCATTGGCTTCCTGAAAGTTATTCATTGTTAAATGATTTAAGTAGGGCTGACACTTGAATGTTAATAATCGTAGTTATAAAATTGTTATCCTTAAGCATGTGAACTGACGGATTTTACCAACTGAATTTCTAAATTCTTATAAATTTTGTGAAAAAGGGAATGATAATAGTGTTGCTTTGTACATTAGGAAAGTAAGAAGTGAAAGTCATTATAGAAGAGACTGAACAAGAGTAAGTTATATATACATTTGAAAATGTATATCAGAGTAGTATCCTAATTAAGTTATAAGCAATTTTTTTATCTATATTTTTAATGTTAAATAAATTCACATGTATGCATTATAATATCAATATTTATTATTCTTTTATTAATTGAAATACTTTAGTTATAATATTTTGTTTTGGGAGAGGAATTGGATTTGTCTAATAAGCAATTGATCATCCTCCTATTTTAGACATTGAGATAATATTTTATTTTGTGAATATGAACATTTAATGATTTAATCAGTGTCTTTCATGCGTGAAGATAGACAAAGGGATTTCCTCTGAATGCAATAACTGAATGATGTGATGTCCTTCTTTTTTCTCTGGCCATTGAAAATGAAATCTCATTCAACTACTCATTCAAAGTGATTTGACTGTAACTCTTGTTGAAAATTCTACATTTGTCCAAAGCCATACATGTCCATTTTCAATAAGGATCGTTGATTCGGATAAATTTCCATTGGCGAATCAAACTTGTAATTATTTCTTGCGCAATACATGGATCAGAGATTAGTTGAAGCTTCAAGAAATGGAGATGTCATTGCATTATTTAGAATGTTGGAGGAGGATCCTCAGATTCTGGACAAAGCGTCTTTGGCCTATCATAGAGAATCGCCACTTCATGTTGCAGCACTAGGAGGGAAAGCAAATTTTGTGAAGCAGATTCTGAGTTTAATGCCTTCACTAGCAACACAGCCAAACCAGAAAGGTTTGATCCCATTGCACATGGCTTCTGCAAAAGGCCATGATGAGACAGTGAGAGAGCTCTTGAAGGTGAAGCTTGATGATGATTCAGTGAAACAGTGCCTTCTCAAGGACGACGATGGATGGACTCCGCTGCATTATGCAGCATGGAAAGGGAAAGTTGAAGCATTTCAAGAACTGGTCAGCCACATTCCTGAGTGTATGCTGGAGACAACACCGAAAGGAGAGACAGTTCTTCACTTAGCAGTGAAGGCTAACCAATTTGGAGCTCTGCGAGTACTAGAGGAAAGAATCAGGCTTTACAACTTCCACACACTCCTTCTACAAGTCAAGGACAACAACGGCAAGACCTTCAGTCAACTTGCAGATAACAAGTGTAATAGCCCTAAAATAATAATAATAAATAATAAAATATAAAATCAATTAATCAATTAATAATAAAAATAATATATATATTTTTTGATTGTGTCTATATAAACTTTGGGGTAGTTATAATAAATTAAACTAGTAGCTTCATGAAAATCTTTCCTAGTCTTTATTTATGGGTTTAGAAAGTAAATATTTTATTTTGTTAGTATGGCAAAAAAAAAATTACTAGAAAAAAAAACAGCTCTGAAAAAAAAAAAAAAAATATATATATATATATATATATCTAAAAACGCACGCACAAAAACGCACGCACACTTCAGTCTCCTTCGTACCCATTGTCGACTTTTCTAGAACCGAGTGGCACAGAGAGAGAGAGAGAGAGAGACCTCCGATCACACCTCTGTTCTCTCGCCTTCCTTCTCCGGCTTCAGCCGTCGTCAGCGTGGTTGCAAGTGGCCGTTCGTCTGCAGCAGGGAGTTCTGTCGAGTTCATGGATTTTTCTCCGCCCCTGTGTTGCTATCGAGTCTTCTTCTTCCTCCTCCTTCTGCATCGCAGGCCTCCTCCTTCTTTAGATGCTGCGTTGTGCTGTGCGGTCGTCGTGGAGGGAGCTTCGACTTCTTTCCTCTGTTTTTCCTCTTCGTGCAGCTCGCCAAAGGTCTCTCCCTGTTCTGCGTCGTCCCTGTTCTGGTATGTTTCTGTGGTGCACCGACTCTTTCCCCTTTTATTTCTTCACTGTCGCTGAACTGATTAAAAGGAGATTTGAATTTTTCTTCCTGCTCCATCGTGATTGGTCTGTGGTGAGGATTCAAATTTTTCTCCCTTCCACTTTATGGAATTTCTGAGTCTGACAATGGGGCTTCGGTGTTTCCTTTAACTCCTGGAATGCTGTAGTGTTTGGGAGATTTGAATCCATGGGGCGTGTGTGCGCTGTAATGATTGAGGCTGTAGAATTTTTATTTTTTTTATTTTTTTTTTGCTTGCCTTGTGCTACCGTCTGTGTTTGAGTATGAAGGGGAAATTGGTTTAAGCTGAATTTTTTTAATAAAAAAAATGAAATGATGATGTGGTTTTGAATTTAATTAAAGTTGGACTGATTATTGATGCTGGCAAATTATTGGGCCAGTGATTGAGGTTTGGAAGATCCATTGAATGAACTGGAAATTGATACCTACTAGGTGTTTGTTAAAAGATCTATGAGAGGATTTTCTCTCCATTTAATAATTTAGCAATGGTCAAAGACATATGGAAAAGCTTTGCGATATAAATGATGATGTTTGGGAAAATGTGAATTGTTGGAATCAACTATGTTGTGTTAGAAGTAAATTTATTGAACTCGTAGAAAAAATTGACTATAATATTATTTGGACACTAGGAGATGAAAGATCTAGTATCGTTGCAAGAGGATTAAGTTGGAAGCAAATTATAATTTGAAACCCTTCAGGTAAGTGAATAGCATCCCAGTTAACTTGTCAATAAAAGTCTTTCATTGAAATTATTACATTTTTTATGCATATTATTCTTATTAACAACTATGATGAATATTGGTTACTTTGTTAATTAAATTATGATTTGTGTTAGTACTTTTCTTAAGAGACATACTTAAAAGATTGACGAAAATGATTTTTACAAACTTTAATGTTCCTTATTCAATAAAGATAATCATGGAAACTGGTGAAAAGTTTATGAGATGTTAGTTATGAATTTTTACATTGAGAAGATTGATTATTTTGAATTGATTCATGCGAGTTTGGTACTGAAAAGATGATTTTATATTTTGAAAAGTGATTATTTTCTCGCATGTTTGAAAATGAATTTGAAGGGGACTTTATACAGAACACTGGTTGCTAGCGGTCGCTCCGTTAGCCCTTGGCGCGCCTTGGTCAATGACTAGCTAGTTTGATTTTTGTGAGCTCTGTTCTCACGTTTGTTATTTCGTGGGTCTTGTACCTGCGTCTGTTTCGTGGCTTTGACCATGTATGGTTAGTTACCCTCGTGGACTATGTGTCCGCGTCTGTTTCGTGGCTTCGGCTGCACCTGGTTACCTACCCTCATGGACTGTGTATCCACGTTTGTTTTCGTGGCATAAGCCACGTTGGGTGATTTATCCTCGTGAACTGTGTGTCCACGTTTGTTATTTGTTCTATTAAGTCCTCAAAATTTTAAATTTTTACTTAACATTTGATATTTGAAATTTCAATGACTTCAGTCAGTGAATTTATTACTTTGATTTACATGTAGATAATTTGATTTCTTCAAGATAAAATAAAGAAATTTTCAATTCACTCTCATTTGATGGTTATGATTAAACTTAGAGATTTATTGATTTTATTATATTGATTTATCATCTCTTCAATTATTTTACTTAATTATTTGAGTTTATTATGTTACTCTTTTAAAGTTTATTTTTGGGGATGCTATTCACTGAAAAATATTTTGGTCTCAAATTCATTAGCTGATGTTGAACCTCTTGCCTGTCATTGAGGGGCCTACAACTATGTTAGGTGAATGTCTGTTTGTTTCTGTTTTTGTTTTTATTTTTATCTTATTTTATTTTTTGAAATGCCTTTTCTTTGATGTAAATATTCGATTATGTGATTTATTTTGAAATTATGGTTTAGAGGATCCACGTTAACTATAGAAAGAATCCTAATTTTATTTTACTATGTGACTGTCTGTTGTTAGGGAGCGTAACTTTGAACTATTGAATACATGTTGTAATACTTTCTGCTGTATAGATTTCGGAAGACCCTATGTATGGGGGAGGTTTTTGTCAAAATTTCTTCAAAAAAAAAAGTTGAAGCTTTTATTATAATGAATATTTTTAAGGATGTCAGAATTACAATATAAATCTAACTATGTTTGAGAAATGGAATATTTTTGATTTGAGGCTTAAGGGATGTGTGATATAGTTCACATCCCATGCCGGTCACTCCCATTTTTCGAGACGTGACAACAAGAAACAACTCCAGGTAAGTGTGTGTACAAATAGTTGTTTTATTTATTTATTTATTGTTGGGAATGAAGGGCAAAAGGTCCATATACCATAATGTATAGGAAATAGGAAAAAACATAGTACATTAATGTAATTGTATAAGGTGAGAGATAAGCATTAGATAAATCACGTACAATGATATAAAAGTTTTCAGAAAAAAATGTTAATACACAAAATTTCAGCTCTTCCATTTCACTTCAATTATAGAACCCACCTCTGTATTTCGAGAACCTATACTTTAGCCCAACCTATTAACACTGTATTTTTATTTTTTATTTTATTTTTGGTATAACAGGGTTTAAATCTTAAATAACATAAACGGTTGCGTGAAATTTTGAGAAGCACTACAAGTAATACTTTTGGTAACTTAGAAAGCATATTTTAATCTAAAATTGTGATTGAAAGTTCAAATTATATATGGTTAGATGAATGAAACGAAATCTTAAAAGTAAGAGGAGTTCTATATGACATAACTTCTAATATTGAGAAAGGTTTGTAGTTTATTCCAAGGAAAAAATTGATTATAAAGTTTGGTAAGCAAAAGGATATATAACAAATTTTACAGTTCAGATGGATCATGAATATATATATATATATATACACATACATACATACATATATGTTTTAAAATCAGATCCAGTAGAAAAATATTAATGAAAAACGAATTAATAACAATTTTGATAGATGAATAAATGATGTCAGAAAATGGACAAAACCGTAAAGAATTTCCAGCATTTACAAGTTGATGGTAGACGAATTACTACACTTGCACACTTAAACAAAATCTATTGCAATTTGTCTTCTACTCCAGTATGTTAGAACATTGCAACGAGAAGAGGGTACATTGAAAGCATATAACAATGATTTGGCAGCTACCAGAGGTACCGAATAAAAATGTGAAGATCAATGATATCAATGAGGAAAATTATATAACCGTGGACGTGGAGAGGATTACTGACACTGAAGTACCCAAGGAATCGGGGGCAAAAGCAGAAGATAATGAAATGCAGTTTCAGAACATAAAACTACTAGTAGCCACCATCATTTTGACCTTAACATATCAAGGTTTGGGTGATCCTCCATCAACCCTCTTCAAAGAAGGCAGTGAAATAAATTGGGAATGCCTTTTTGATTTCTCATCGAGAAAGAATCACAGAAGTAGCTTGATCAATTTCATCAAGAACTGTCCAGCTCTCTTGGCTTTCATGTTCTTGATAATGAACACCTTGATCTTCTTCACTTTTATCTTGATTGTGGTTACCACTTTGCGTGGCCGCCAAGCTCTTCAACTGCGATTGCTCACACTATACTTCACAATCTGCTACAGCATCTTACTCATGTGTTTTTTTTAATGAAGATATCCAAAATGTTTTGGGTAAATGATGTGTTACTAATTACTACTTGGCCAGCTTAAATATAGGATTAATGGATCACTAACTCAAAAATTAGTATGTGAGCTAGGGTCACTTTACAATTTCTACACGTTCAAGTTGAATATTTTAATTTATTATTGTTGGCAATAGCTGATGAAATTTAGTCTAAGTTGTGTTTAAGGACACTGTCCTTAAAAGCTATTTCGCCACACCGGATTGATCGCACAGCAACTTTTCAGGATTAAACAAACTCTTTTTACTAAAAGTAGGGACAAGAACAACAAAAATTCACAGAATATACTCAGGTAACTACCCAATAAACTAGTATAATAGAAGAGGAAAGAAAGGCCAAGAGTACCAAAGCTCTCCTTAAACCTATGGCAAACATTGCTTTTTGTAGGTAGATTTCATAGGCAATAAAATCATCTTAATCATAATTAAAAAACAATTTTAAATAATAATGTTGTTTAAATTATATGTTATAAAATAATAAATAAACTTAAATAATAATTAATATTATTAATTTATAATAATTTTTTTTGAAATACTCAAAATATTTATAATATCCAGCACTTATAGCTTATTTTATTAACTTAAAGTGGAGAAGATATCAAATAAACTAAGAAGTTAATCAAATCAGGGTATTTCGCCTATCGTAAAATTTGTAATTAATAAACTAATAGTCCAAGAGAAAGGCAGCGTTTTCTTATGGGCCCGTTTAATTCAATGCAATGCAAGAAGAATACATGTAATTCTGATACACTCCTTTCATTCATGTTGTTTGGTGGGGCCATTGACTATTAGCAGCGAGAATTGTCAGCGTCCCTGGCTAAATCTGATCCGTTCAAATTATCAAAATCCCATCAATACACACCTTACATGGCTATTAAAAATATATGTGAATAATTTATTTTTAAAATAGTAAAAAAAACATATTTTAAAATATACGGTGGAAATAGGTTAGGCTTAAGATTTTGACTAAACATGCTAAGTTTATTTATATAAATAAGCTTAATTATAAAGCATGGTTTTTTTCTTAAACATACAAACCAGGCCAAAATTTAAATAACATAAACTGTGTGTCTTTGCAGATCAATTCAAGTCTATTTAACAAACAAAGCTGATTCTATTAAAATAAGTAAATAACCTTGTAGAAACATATAGCTTGTCCTGTTTAAATTTTGGCCTGGTCTATTTAACAAAAAAAATCATACCTAAATTTATAATTACACTTATTTATATAAACAGGCATAACCTATTTAGGTAAAATCTTATTTAAAATTGGCCTACTTTTACCCCGTGTATTTCAAAATATGTTTTTTACTATTTAAAAATAAATTATTTACGTGTATTTTTAATAGTCATGTAATGTGTACATTGATAAGATTTTGACCATTTGAATGGACTAGATTTGGCCACCAAGGGACGCTGAGATGTATGGCCGCAACACACCATCGGCAACCTCTCCCTCCTTCCTTCCCACCGTCACTGAACTTAAAACTCCTTCTTGGTGTGCCTCTCTCCTCAACCTCACCGGCGACAACCTTCGCTCCTTCTTACCATCGGCAACCGCCATCAACAACACACCATCTGAACCAAAACTGATTTGCGACCTGCACGCAAACCAACAACACTTGTTCAATCATCCAAATGCTTCATTGTTGCTGTACGTATGATTTCTGATTTTCCATGCAAGGAAACCATGGTTTATGTTTGTACGGGGGCGATGGTGGTGAAGATAACAGAGGGGGAGGTTTTTCTTTTGGCTTTTTTTAAAAGGGTATTTTTGTATTTTTAATTTTATTTGGATTTAACTAAATAGTAAAATAGATTATTTTCCAAATGTCATACCAAACAAACTCATGAAATCAACATTTTTCCTGTCATTACATTACATTACCATTGATTTTATGAACCAAACGGATTATTAGTTTTTGACATCAATTAGCCCAAGCGAAAACTTTAAATTTAATGAGGACTATTTAGTACAGCTATGATCACTTATTAAGTTATTGGCCGTGTTTCCTTATCCTTGTGTCAAAATCTTAGCCGAAACTTACAGGATGGAGGAGTGCCATACCATTATATTTAACTTTTTTCTTTAACAAATATAAATTCCAATTTAAATATTGTATTTTATTCAAAGTATGCTATGTTTTTTTTTTTGTTATTCTCATTTGCTTAGGTAGTGTTTGGCTGGATTTAAATTTGAATTTAAAATTTCAAATTACACATTTAGATATTATGCATTTAAAATTTTTTATTTGGATAGTATAAAAATTTTTAAAGAAAGAAGAGATACAAGCTAGTATTTGAAATAAAAATGAAAGATTGAAAGTAATGAACTTAATTTAATTTTTTAATCAATAAGAGACTTAGAATGAGAGAAGAGGAGAGAGTAAGAGAGACACCAATAATGAAAGCGTGAAGAAAAGGAAGAGGTTAGAATAGTTGAAAATTAAAATTTGAAATAATTAAAATCAAGAGAACTTAAAATTATAATAAAATATGGATTTGAATTTGAATAAAATTCAAATTCATAAACTTTTAATATTTGAATGGAAGAATCAAATCCAAATCTAAATATAAATTCTCATGTATCCAAATACTGCCTAAGAATACAAAACTTGGCCCAAAATTGCCAAGAAAAAGAAAGGCATTGGCATATCCAGGGGTAAAATTTTGGCGCATTATACAAAACTTGCTAACAATGATAGGGATTTTCTTCTTGTGGAAGAGGCAATGTGCCGTTTCATATCTACTTTGACAAGTTATGACTCTGAACCCTCTTCGAAAATTCAACATTTATCCAGCGCCACAAATACATACATCTACATTTCTATTAAATGTAGTATAGGCGTCGATGTTGACCCTCCAACCAGCAAAACATATACGATGGCGAGAAGAAAGGGACTAACATATTCTAAAGTTGGCCTCTTTGATTCCATTGCAGCAGAAAAAGATCAGAGCCTGTGATTCTCTCGAGAAACTAAAAATCAAGCCTTGCGTCTTCCACTTTCTTCATTTCTCATCCCAACAAGTTTTGATCCGTTTCTTCTTCTTATTTTTCCCCTATGAGCGATGCAACTAATCCAGTAGCTCAGTCCCTCGTTCCAATGTTGAAAAAAGGAACAAATTATGATTTCTGGAGTCTGAAAATGAAGACCATGTTCAAGTCTCGAGAGCTATGGGATATGGCGGAGAAAGGATTCATAGATAACCAAACTGAGGAGCCTGATCAACCATTGCGAGAGAATCGAAAGAAGGATGCAAAGGCCCTGTTTTTGATTCAACAAGCTCTACATGATGAAATATTTCCTCTCATTGCATCAGCAACTACATCCACCCACGCATGGGAGATTCTAAAGCAAGAATATTCCCGTAACAAGAAGGTAATTACAGTAAAAATTTCAATTCCATGAGAAAATGTTACGGGTCCTATGTCAAGGACATGCATCACACACAAATACTCTCCCTCATCATTTGTCATTGGAAACAGGTAAAGTTATTAATCAAGGCTAGTTTTATTTTGAAGGGCCTAAACCTATAGGCCCACATATTTTAAATTAATTGTGTTTTTCAAAACTAACCTTCATTGTCAAGGTTCAAGGTGGGCACCAAAAGCTTGCCTAATTTTTTGGGAGAATTACATGAAATTTACATAAAAAAATTAATTACTATAAAATTCAGTGATAACTAAACTAAGAAAATTGAGAACACAAGCAGTTGTCAATCTCTTTAGTTTGATTATCAATGAATTTTATAGTAATTAATTTTCTTGTGTAGAACCTGGATGTAATTCTCCCTAATTTTTTTATTTTTTTCATTTAAGTTTCTAGTTATTATAATACACAATTTAACAAACTGTGTCATTTTATATATTAATTCAAAAATTAAATCAACAATTTCAACCACAAGTTGATTGAAAAGTGAAAAAATTTACAAGGACAAGGGCCTAAGTCTTTTTATACAAAAACTACTCTTTCTTCCAAGTTAGCCCTCCTAAAAAAGGGCCTAAGTCTTTTTATACAAAAACTTCTTCTCTTCTTCCAAGTTCAGCCCTCAAAAAAAATAAAAAAATAAAAATAAAGGGCCTAAATGAGCGACCCAAAAAGCTAGCCCCTTATTGATGTTTATAGGCACGGAAGATTCTAACCGGCAACAAGCCAAGTGAACTTCTGTCTTAATCGAGTTTTGGATATTGCATCCACGTAATGTTTTGAAAATGATTAAAATTTGTGTACAATTGTTTTTTTGGGTTACAAAAAATGTTTACAATTACGCAGGAAACTAGTATAACCATGCACAGCAACTCTGAAGCCCCCAAAAATAAGAACAAGGAAGTATGGAGGGAACCAGCAACAAGAAGAGATGCAAAGAAAGAAAAGGAAGAAGATTTTGAGAATGCAATACTAGTTGTGGTGACATTAATCATAACGTTGACATACCAAGCTTTGTTGAATCCTCCATCAACACTCTTCAAACAAGGAACTGAAATACAATGGGGATGCCTTTTTTCCAGGAAACAAGGTTTGATAAACGACATGAAGAACTGTCTGCTAAACTGGCCTTTGCGTTCTTGTTCCTCAACACATTGATCTTCTTGCATTCAATCCTTGTCCTGCTCTTGACTCTGCGTGGCCGTCGTGGATTTCTGTTGACGGGTCTCACAATGTACTTCACTGTTTGTTACTTCATCTTGCTCATGGCTTTCTCTTATTATACTGCTTATGTTGCTATTCCACTCTGTTGCTTGGCTGTTTTAATCATAGTCTTGATATCTGGGAAGGAATATTGGAAGCTCCTAAGGAGTCGTTATTTCCGGTGAATTGTTTTAATTAAATATATGTAATCGTTATAATTTTTCTCATGAATTATATTTCATCTTTATTTGTTTTCTTTTTCTTCTTTTTTATTTTCTTTTCTGCTTCTTCTTGTTTTTTTTTTTTTAAGGAAATGAAAAAGGTCCTGTGGTGTTG